CCAGGGCCGGACCTGGCCGTCGGCGCCGCTGTGGCCCTCGACGTGCACGCGCCCTTATTAATGCACCAGAATTTATCGAACTGCTCGAGGATCTCTGGGGCGTTCGAGACAAGGCCTGCTGTCTTCCTCAAAATACCCCCCCGACGCTCGCGAAGACCCACATGGCACTGGTCGAAGATGACCTCGCGCACGCCCCATGTCGATAGTACCTCTGGCCAGGCCGGCTCGTCGCACAACTACGATGGGTCGGGCTTCTCGTTGATAAAATAGCTGCCCCGCTGTAGCTGCAGCCGTGAGGTGATGCGCCCTGGCAGGATCGTAGCCAAGCGAGGTAGTTGCCCTGCTCGTTGAGAAGGGCCCAACGAACGACAGTTCGGCAGGCGAGAGTCACGACGACCACTAGGGGCCGATGTTGTTGGATGTGCTCCTTCACGGCACTCTGCTGGCTCTCGTCTGTAAGGTCATAGCCAACGACCAAGTCGAAGCCGGCACCCGCCCTGAGGCGGCGGCGGACAGCAACTTGTCCGGTCCGCGCCCCCCCCCCCCCGCATATCTCCACGATGTCAGCGCCGTGATCGATGGAGGCGAGGTAGATGCGGAGGCGGTGAATGTCATCAAACTCGGTAGACAGCGACGTTTGAGAAATCGCCAGATGGCGATCCGATGACGGGGCCGAACCCTGAAACCGCCACATGAGCAAGCCTCAGGCGAGGCTGCCACGGAGGTCGTCGCCGTCGCGCTCGACGATTCTGCCCAGCTCGCCCATGGCTGGGACGCCCAAAAACTTGGGGCCAAACCCGCGACGTCGGGACCGCAATCGTCGCGGTGGTCTTCCACGACTGGCGCACGCGCGCTGCCATGGGGCAGGCGATGGCACCGCAGTTGCCAGACGACCGTCTCTCAGCGTCCGGGAAGGCTCAACAACGCATTTGCTCGGTGCCTCCCTGGGCTTCCGGTTTTCAAGGAGCCTCGCTGCGGCGCGCTCTCCGCGTCGCACCCGCGCTGGTGGAACCGCAATTGCAGCATGGCGACCAGCGCAAAACCTTGCGGCACATCAGAGCCGTGCGCGCCGTGCTGTTGAAGATCGCCCAGTTGTCCTTGTGCTCCTCGAGCCCGATGTCGCACCTGCACGGCTGGTTGCACATGGGCGCTCCAGTTAGCGCCGCGAAAACGTCGCTGCTGTGATTGGCCAGGGGACCAGGTGCATGCGGCGTGCCCTGCGATGGGTCAGGTGGAACACCTGTGCTTCGATCATCTGTGGATCTGGCGGTCGATTCCGTCGTTGGTCAGGACTGCCGTTGATCACGATTCTGGCGCCAGAATCCTTGGCTCGTGGATACTCGGGAAGAATGAAGGATGAGATGAATCTCGTCTTCCCACGCCACACGTGATCCACGTCGCGCCGCAGATGGAGCCGGGGAATGAAGGGTCGGCTAGCGCCATGACAACACCCTCGAAGGTGGCAGCACGAGCGACGTCAAAGCCGTGCCCATGTAGTGCTAGCGAGGTGTCCCATCCTCTCTCCAGGACCTAAGCGGGGCGACCTGGTCCTGCTGTCCGCTTCTGCCAGGGCAGGTCGGCTGGGCCAGCCTTGCGGGCTGGCCCCTTCTCCTCTTCGTGTAGCGGCTGCGTGGGTCCTCGGTAACATAGTTACCCTCAGACCCTGCTGGCCATGCGGTGCTCGTATCCAAATGGATTGGGGCCGTAGATGAAGCAGTCATGCCAGCATGACCGAAGCCACCGGAGCCGCGTGAGGATGGAGGATGGATGGCAACGACCACAATGGCGGAGCCCGTGATGATGCGCTCCAGGATAAGTCGGGCGATCCTCTGACCCTGCTCGACCACGAACGCCCGCGGGCTGGCGTTGTGCACGATCACCGCGATCTCGCCGCGGTGGTTGGGGTCCACCACTCTGCCCACAACGTCGATACCCTTGAAGGCCAGTCCTGAGCGAGGGGCGAACCGCAAGTAGATGCCCGGCGGTGCAAGGGCGGCCATGCCCGTAAACACCAGTTCGCGACCACAGGTCGCGAGACTGACGTCTGCGCAAGCGAATAGGTCGCAGCCTGCTGCCTGAGGTGCGCCCCGGACTGGCGATTGTGAGATGACGCTAAGACGTTGAGCTTCTTGAACTCTCAGCTGTCGGCGTAGCCGCGGTCCTGGTTGTCACTGCCCACTGCTCGTAGCGTGAGCTGCCTGAGTGGGAATCCCCAGGTCGGTGGTTTGAGTTGGTCACACTCGTCAACTGGCACGCATAAGTGGCCACTCGGAGCCGACACCAGGTCGCAAACAAAGCATGGCGCCTGGGCCCCAAGTAGCCCCACGGCCTTCAGGACCAAGGAATGCAAGGCCTTTATGTGCCATGCCTGCCCCCGCAACACCGTTGACGGACCGCTTGGACTGCAGACCAACTAGGGCAGGCAGATCGAAGCCATTTCTTTCCACTGCAGGAGCACGTAGGCTGCGCAGGGCGGTCGCGCCGTCCTGGGTGGTGGCCGCGATCAGGCAGTGGACCTCCGAATGTGCAACTTGTGAGCCGTTGCTCACTCCTGCCACGTAACGTGGAAACGCCAGCTTCTCCTCTGCGGGCTGAAGCCCGGGTTCAGAGTCTCCTTGCCCAGGTTCATTGCGAGGCGCTGCCCCCAGAGGTTGGCCCAAGCGCCAGCATCCACAATGACACAAAGCCAAATACCTGGAAGGTCGGCGCTCGCCAGGCAGCATGGTGAATCGGTTGGCCTACTCGGGCCTGGAACTGACGAGGTAAGCCATTACGGGAACGTTGGCCGGCGCGGCGGAGTACGCAAATCCAGGTGAGTGCGTCGCATGTTACTGCCACGTCGGCAACGGCCACGAGACTGGAAGCAACGCCATTGGATTGTATGCGATCCTGCCGCGGCGTCCCGGGTGTCGGCGCGGGCCGAGGAGTCCGCGCAGCGCCCCGTGGCGGCGGCATCTCCTGCGGCGCGCTGTCGCTTGGCATTTGCTGGGCTGGAACTACAGGTCACCTTCCCGAAATGCCAGGGTCTGCCGCGCTGGCTGGCAACAACCGCCGGACCCACCGCTGCACGATCTGCACCAACTAAGCGGAACTCAGCAACGACGTCCGCCTGGCCGCGGCACACCGAGTAGCGCACCAGGTGGGCATCGGCGTTCTGCGCGAACTGCAGGTGGCATGCCCAGTGCAAGATGCGGCGGCACTGTAGGCGCACAACTTGATCACCGTGTGCGAAAAGCCTCGACACAGATAGGGCATTCCCGATCGTCGCCGTTGAAGACCACGACGCGGGGCGCAGCGCGCGCGGCAGCCAGAACAGCAGGTGGATTTGCAAGGGTTTCGGTCCAACTCTGTGCGGCTGGAGGTCGTTGCTCGTCCTGCTGTCGTAAGAGCTCGAGTGCAAGCTGGATGCTGTGGAGCTCGTCGAAGTGTCATCGTTGTGCGTTTTCGAGCGTGGAGCCTACTCTGCGTTGGGGATCGCACGCCGCTGGACGTCCAGGCGTCGCGGCCGTCGAACCACATGGCCACTTTCCCGAGTGGCTGGCTCACGTCAATGGGGATGCGTTGATTGACAAGAATCAAATCGTTGGGAGACTCCGGCACAAGTGGCGACGCGGCTACCAGCACGGACTGCGGTGGCAACGCGGAGCTCGATCCATATGGGGCGCTGATGCCAAGTGCTGAGCCTGATGGCATTCAAGCCCAGCTCGGCAACTGCAGATCGGCAGGCTGGGTGGCTGGCACAGCGGCTCGGGCATTAATGTCGTGTACCCAATTGCGCCCATGCCGTGGCCCCAGCGGGACAGCACTTGCCACTCCGGCGCAGCGCTGTGGTGCTGGTGATGATGGTGCTGCTGATGCTGTGGAGCTGTGGGTGCCGTAATTGATGCGCCCCCCATTCCTGCCGCTCGGACTGGCAACATACTTGTCCTTTCCGTCGGTTGAGCAGAGTCCTGTCGAAGGCGGCCCACGAGGACGTCCATCCCCTTGCGCAGTCGTTGCACATCGGCCTCATGAGGGCCAGGCGACGCCGACGTAGACGATGAAGTACCCACCCGACTTGACCAATGGCCCTGTCCAACTGTCTGCCAGGATCCGTCGGACGAAGCACTGGGAGCTGCTGCTGCTGCTGCTGCTGCTGGCGTTGGCCGCGTAGTCGCCGAAGCTGGAGTAGGCTGGCCGCCGCTCCAGGGATCGGCGCTCTGCGCGGGGTCACCGTTGTCGGGTTCCAGAACCACAGGTTCGGGCATCCCGTAGGTTTTCCTGATCATCCAGACCGAATCAGCAACTGGTGCTGGTAATTGAGCGGCTGGTCCTGGCGTTCTGTGGTGGTCCAGGTGCGCGAGTGGTGAGGGCGCAGGCATCGGTGGCGGCGGTGCTGCTGAGGCTGGGGCGTCGAGGAAGAGGGCGTCGAGGAAGAGGGCGTCGAGGGTGCCAAACAGTCGCGCACGAGGTGCTCCTCTGAGTCGCACTCGTGGCACTTGAGACGTGTCCAGTCTGGACCCAGTGGGTCGGCTTGTCGGCCGAATCCCAGTCCACTGGTCCGATGTTTGCCATTTCCCTTAGCCCCTTCCAAGCAAGCGAAAGTTGCGTGGAGGTCGGTGTCGGACAGTTCTGCCAGGGAAGCGCAGGAGCCTTCTCCGTGGCCGTTACCATTACGTTTGATGGCCCTCCGCACGCAGCGCGCGGCTAATACCTGGCGAGGCGGCGCCATCGGGACCCGGCGCGCTTGTAAGCCGAAAAGAGGTGTGAACCGCGCTGCTCCGCAAGAACATTTTAGATGTTTGCTTCGGGGTAGCGCATTAGAAGGAAGCTTCAAGCGAAACGCCCAGTCTGGCCTGCGAGGACGCCTGGAGTTGTTTACAAGGAATACGGATGGAGGAGGACGAAGGAGGACGAGGAAGGAGGACGAGAAGCGGAGGGAGAGGGAATGAGCAGGAGGGGAAGAGGGAGGGAGGGTTAGGGAGGAAGGTGGAGCGAGAACATTCTCGAGCAACACTGGCCTCCACGCGGAGCAAGAAATCGGTCTCCATCCCCCGGGGGAGCTGGAGCAGCACGTGGATGCCGGGCCTGAGGATGTCGAACCGCTGCCCATGCACGTTGACCATATGTGGATCGCCGGACGCGGAGACCCTGGCAGGAGGATGCCGGATAAGAGGACATATTGAGGATATCGCGTCCTTACACGGTCCCTGACACAAGCCAAAAGTCCGACAGTGCAGCACGCTGCGTGAAAAGAAAGTACGCCAACGCGCGACATTGCGCAGGCAGCTGACGCGCGCATGTCCGCGCAATCAACTCGTTTATTCCTGCCGTTCACGAATTACATATCCTCAAATAACAACGCCGACGCCAGCCAGGCCAATCCTGGGCCCAGGATTGGCCCAGCTGGACTCGGCGAAGGTGAATAGTTGGTGCCCCTCGGCCTGATCGTCGGCGCCGCTGTGGGTGCAGGTGTGGGAACCGATGCTGTGCCCGATGCTCCTCCCTGTGCCGAGGGCGTAGGTGCAGGTGTGGGTGCAGGTGTTGCTGGCGAAACTTCTGAACCCGCGGGCAGCGGATCCGTCGTTGGCGGGTCCACCACGAGGATGCCGGACCCGCTCTGCAAGCGGTTCATAGCTCCAAAGCTCACGATTCTATGTATTTCTGAATGCCCGCCGCCAGCGATCACGATGGATTCATTCAGCTCAAGCCCGTCCGTGGACGACACTACCAGTGCCGAGCTTCCTGGCCCTGCTGACAGCACTAACACGATTTTCGTTGTGTTTGCTGCCTGAGCCGCAGGCGTTCCGTCTGGCGGCACGTCTGTCCCTGCGGCGGGCGCGGATGTCGGATCCACGCACGCTCCGCACTCGCTGCACACCTGGCTCCCTGTGAGATTCATGGTGATGTCTTTGTCCCGCCCGCAGAACGCATAGTTCGGCGTGCCTGGCGCATAACCGGCGCACTGGCCGTAGCCGGCGTTCCACACGTCCCGACCCTCCTTGCAGTCCTTGGCGGTGCGCGCAAGGGGTGGCGCAAGGAGGGGATGACCTTGTAAGACGGCAAGGGGCTTCCCAGGAAGGATCGAAGGCTTGCAAGGAGGTCTCCCAGAAGCCAGGAGGGACTCTACAGTCGAGGTGCTGCCAGAAGGAACGCTAGATGAGGAGCGAAGGGGCTTTGCCTGCCCCGGTGGGCCTAGGCGACAAACAGATCCAGCGACAGAAATCTAAGGAACGGCCCGAAACCCCCAGCCCCTTCCGAACCCAAAGCGGTCGCTGCTTCAGCGTCTTGGCTGTATGAGACCCTCTGAAAAAGCCGCCGTCCCCTCCACGCCACCCTTTCGGCGCGCCGCCGAAGTCCGACATCTCGCCCGTGAACGGCGCAGGGGTGGGCCCATGTGTCCGATCGGGAGCCGGTGTCGGCGGCGGTGCGGTGGGGACCTGAGGGCAGCAACCACAGCGATACGATGAGATTCGACCCCCTCCCCCCCCCTCATGCGGGGGAGGCGAGAATCCGAAGAAAGCATCTAAACACACATCGACTCACCACCTCCCTGCCTGGCCAGGGCCAACCTGGCCACCACGATGGTGCATAGAAATACGTGCAGACCCTCCTAGCATCCGCCAGGAAGGAGTACACACCATGCCAGGGCCAGCAGCGTCCCTGGCCAGCGGTGGTGGTGTTCAAAGTCCAGGTGCCTTCTGTGGAGGGGACGGGGAGCGATAGAGAGAGGGAGAGGAGAGGGAGGCCGAATCCCAATGCGCATCTCCCGCGGTTCTGGCTGCCCAGGGGGCCGGAGTGAGGACCGGCAGGGGCATCTCCGTGGGCGCCTTCGTGGGCTCCGGCGTGGGCGATGGCGTGGGAGCCTCCGTGGGCTCCGGCGTGGGCTCTGGAGTGGGCGCTGGCGTGGGAGCCTCTGTCGGCTCTGGTGTGGGCTCCGGCGTGGGCGCGGGCGTGGGCGCGGGCGTGGGCGCCGGCGTGGGCGCCGGCGTGGGCGCCAACGTGGGCGCAGGCGTGGGGTGCCTGGTAGGGTGCCGCGTCGGGGCCCGCGTGGGGTGCCGCGTCGGGGCTGGCGTGGGGTGCCTGGTGGGGTGCCGCGTCGGAGCCCGCGTGGGGTGCCGCGTCGGGGCAGCTGTGGGAGCCCCCGTAGGAGGCAGCGTGGGAGCCGGCGTGGGGAACGGAGTGACAACTGGCAGCGGCGGTTCGGCAGGAATCGGCGTGGGAGCTTCTGTAGGAGCCGCTGTCGGGGCCGCCGTGGGAGCTTCTGTCGGAGCTGCCGTGGGAGCCTCTGTCGGAGCTGCCGTGGGAGCTTCGGTGGGAGCTTCTGTGGGAGCTTCCGTGGGAGCTTCGGTGGGAGCTTCGGTGGGAGCCGCTGTCGGAGCTTCTGTGGGAGCTGCCGTCGGAGCTTCTGTGGGAGCCGCCGTCGGAGCTGCCGTGGGAGCCGCAGTCGGAGCTTCCGTCGGAGCTTCCGTCGGAGCTTCGGTGGGAGCTTCCGTCGGAGCTTCGGTGGGAGCTTCCGTCGGAGCTTCCGTCGGAGCTTCTGTGGGAGCCGCTGTCGGAGCTCCTGTGGGAGCTGCCGTCGGAGCTTCTGTGGGAGCCGCCGTCGGAGCTTCCGTCGGAGCTTCCGTCGGAGCTTCTGTGGGAGCCGCTGTCGGAGCTTCCGTGGGAGCTTCTGTCGGAGCTGCCGTGGGAGCCTCTGTCGGAGCTGCCGTGGGAGCTTCGGTGGGAGCTTCCGTCGGAGCTTCGGTGGGAGCCGCTGTTGGAGCCGCTGTCGGAGCTTCTGTGGGAGCTTCTGTGGGAGCTTCTGTGGGAGCTTCTGTCGGAGCCGCCGTGGGAGCCTCCGTTGGAGCTTCCGTCGGAGCTTCCGTCGGAGCTTCTGTTGGAGCCGCTGTCGGAGCTTCCGTCGGAGCTTCTGTCGGAGCCGCCGTCGGAGCCGCCGTCGGAGCCTCCGTGGGAGCTTCTGTGGGAGCTTCTGTGGGATCCGCTGTCGGGGCGTCTGTGGGCAACTCCTCGGAGGGCACGTCTTCCGCCGCGATGGTTGGCTGAACTGCGCTGAGGTCAAACACCTGGGAGGCTCCCGCACTGGGGAACAAACACTGGCTAGACAAACAAAATTGTCCTGGCGAAAAAACCTGATCATATGCAACTGCCAGTATGCGAGGCAGGTGGAACGCAGGAGGGAGGCCACGAAACGTGTGAGAAGCCTGCCGAAATGAGTGCGGTGGCGCCATGCGGACCGTCCCACGGGGGCCTCGGGTGGAGCTACGGGGCCACGAAACGTGTGAGGGGTCTGCCGACATGGATCTGGTGGCGCCATGCGGCCTCTCCAAATGGAGCCTTCGGTGAAAGTCCCTGTGGGACCACGACTCGTGCAAGGGATGTGCCGGCATGGATGGGACGGACGCGTGTGGACCATCCCACTGGGGCCTTCGGTGGAGCTCCCGGTGGGGCCACGAAGAGTGGAAGAGGTGTGCCGAAATGGGGCGGGCGGGCGCATGCGGCATGCGGCCCCTCCCACTGGGGCCCTCGGTGGAGCTCCCGATGGGGCCACGACTCGTATGAGGTGTGTGCCGAAATGGGTCTGGTGACGCCATGCGGCCCCTCCAAATGAGGTCTTCGGTGGAGCTCCCCATGGGGCCACGAAACGCGTGAGGGGTGTGCCGACATGGGCGCGATGGCGCCATGCGGCCCCTCCCACTGGGGCCCTCCGTGGAGCTCCCTATGGGGCTACGAAACGTGTGAGGGGCGTGCCGCAATGGGACTGATGATGGTGATAGTATCAATGCCGATGCCGATGAGGCTGATGATGCTGGTGACAAGAGAGGAGTGGGGAAGAGACGCGGGGTGCTGTCTCTTCAAATCATGGACTCAACACCATATGATGACCTCCGCGGGCGGTGTAATTATCCAGCAGCGCCAGGCCCCCTCCCCACGCCCCACCGAGGGCGCCGCCCAGGGGTGGCGGATGGCAGGGGTCCGATGCTCGCGGAGAAGACGCCCAGGGACGCCCGAAGTTTATTTTTTTTTCCCCCGCGCAAATGCCGCCCGGTCCGCTGCCCCTCGAGGGGGCTACTCCCAGCGCCGCTCCCCCGATCAGCGACGGCTGCAAGGCACTGAAAGCCAAAACCTGCAATGGCCCCGGACTCGGGGCCATTGCAGGTTCGTGTGGCTTTCTGCTCGTGTGGCTTTCTGCTGCTTCCCTGTGCGTGTTTATGTTCGTGTGGCTTTCTGCTTCCCTGTGCCCACCCTTTCCTCCCTCGTTTCCCACGCGGGGAGGGCTGGAGTGCGCTGCCTATCCGCCTTCACCCATGGCGGCCGCACCCAGTCTGGCTGAGTCCAAAGCTGGCGGGCAAGGCCCTCCACCCACGGCCAAGAAGGCGCGTGCAGAGATCCTGGCCCCGAGCATTTCGCCCTGGCCACAATCGCTGCAGATGAATAGCTTGTCCCCCGAGGGATGGGGATGGCGGAAGCAGGAGGACGAGGAAGATCCAACACCAAACAAGTTATGCCTGTCCCTTGAGGGGAGGTCCCAAAAGACCTCCGTGGATAACTCCGCCATCCGACGTCGCGAAAAGAGCACGACGGAATGAAACGATTACGGCGTGGCGCCCACAGTAAGATTACAAAGAAACGCGACCGTAACCCTCGACCACATCTGCGCGCGGGATTTCTCAGGCCGGATCGACATGCGAGGGCCCCAGTCGGCGGCGGGCGAGGGCGGAAAATGAGAAGAAAAAGAAAAAGAAAACAAAAAGAAGAAGAATAAGAAAAAGAAGAAGAAGAAAAAGGCTTTCTCAGAGGGCGCTGGACTCCTGAGAAGCCCTCACGCCCTCTGAGAAGCTGTCTGTCTTCGTGGAAGGCTTGGAACACTTCTCGGAAGGCTGGAGGGCTTCCGCTGAGAGGGACCGCCCCTCCTCGCTTCCCCCCCGTGGGCGCGCCGCGGACCCCGGCAGCGCGACACCAGGCAGGAGCGCTGGCCATCGTCTGTCGCACGACGTCGCGGTTTCGAGCCCGCGGGGCCCGCTGGACCGTGTTTGGTGCGTCCTGGGAGGCCGGAGAAGGGAGCTCTGGGGAGCCGAACTTGAGAAGCCAGGCCGTCGCGACCCCGCGCCAGTGGTGCACAGATCAGACGGTCAAAGCTTTCTAATAACGGCGCACGGTGAGGATGCAGGGGCCTTGGAAGGCCATGTCGACTCTCTGCGGGTGGGGCGCGGTCAGCGAAAGCGGCCAAGGATGGACCGAAGGGGAAGGATGCAAGGGGAACCTTGGAAACTTGCTCATCCTTATTGTGCGGGCTGACCATATACGTGTATGTACATATACACCGGACTCACTTCTATAGCGCTCACTTCTATAGTGCTCACTTTGAAATTGTGGTCCGGAAGGGGCCGCACATGCAGGCACATGCCGCACAGTCGCATGCACATGCCCATGCAAATATACAAAAGCCTCAACAGCATTGCCGCACATGCGCGCACATGCCACACCGTCCGACGCACAGTCGAAAGCACAGTCAAAAAAAAAAAATAAAAGTAAAAAACAAGAAAAAAATAAAGAATAAAAAAAAAAAAAGAAAAAAAAAACAAAATAAATAAAAAAAAAAAACAAAAAAAAAAAAAAAAAAAACAAAACACACAAAAAACAAAACAAAAAAAAAAAAAAAAAAAAAAAACAAGAAAAAAAAAGAAGCAAAATAAAAAAAAAAAAAAAAAAAAAAAACAAAAAAACAAAAAGGTATAAAACAAAAAAAAAAAAGAAAAAAAAGAAAGTCAAACTCTGAACAAGCAGAGACGCACATGCCCGCACATGCCGCAGAGATGTCGCAGGCGATAGTGGCCTGACCACCTGAGCTCGGGGCATTTCGCAACCCAGAGTTCCGAGGATGTCTCAGGCAAGCGTGGCCGGATCACCATGGGGCAGGGCATCTTGGAAACCAGAGTGGCAAGGATGTCGCTGGTCAAGGTGACCAGACGACCATGGGGCAGGACACCTCCGAGGTCTGAGTTGTGAGGATGTCTCAAGCGAAAGTGGCCTGACCACCATGGGGCAAGAGATCTCTGAGGTCAGAGTTGCGAGGATGTCTCTGGGGAGAGTGGTCTGACCACCTCAGCCCAGGGCATCTCGGAGCCCAGAGTGGCGAGGATGTCTCAGGCAGGACTGGCCTGACCACCTGCTCAGGGCATCTCAGAACCCAGAGTTGCGAGGGTCTCAGGCGAAAAGGCCGAGACACTATGGAGCAGGGCATCATTGAGGTCAGAGTTGCGAGGATGTCTCAGGCGAAAGTGGCCTGAACAGCTCAACTCAGCTCCTTTTCTCCTCCTCCTCTCATCCTCCTCCTCCTCCTCCTCCTCCTCCTCCTCCTCCTCCTCCTCCTCCTCCTCCTCCTCCTCCTCCTCCTCTTTCTTCCTGCTGGCTGAGCCGAACCGGCAGGCTGGCCAGTGGCCGGGGGCGCCCGCCTCCTCCGCCCCCCCCTCCTCCCCCCCCCCCTCCACCTCCCCCCCCCCCATCCCTGCTTCTCCGGCCGAGCTGAGAAGGCGCGCGGGAGAGTATTTTATTAGGCGGGCGCGCCACCGCCAGCTCACGAACCGGGCGAATAACCGCCCCCGCCAGCAGCGGGCGAGTCTAAACGCACAACAAACTCTTTCAGGAAACCCTGGCACGCCCCAGGTTAGCTCTGCGAAGGCCAGGAGGCATTGGAGGCACAGGGGTCCCAGACAGCTCCTAGGGCATGAGCGTGCATGTGCATTGGGATGTGCACGCATGTGCGCCCGCGCGCTTCACCGCATGTGCGTGCATGTGCGGGCCCGCGCGGCCTCCCGAAGAGAGGTTGCACAGGTATGTGCGTGCATGTGCCGATGACAGATCTGCGATTCTCGAACACCTCCCGCATGTGCAGGCATGTGCGCGCATGTGCGTCGGACTGTGCGTGCATGTGCGTATGATGGATACATCAAAACACAGCGCACATGCCCCCGCACATGCCCGGGCACGACGTGCACAGTAGGAAGTCCATCCAAGAAGGACCGCACAGGCCTGGCACATGACTGGCACATGCCGCGCACATGCGCGCACATGACAGCGCAAAAACGGCCGCACATACACCCACCCAGGGGTATAGATGTGAGTGCGGTGTGTAAATATAGATATACTTATATATATATATATATACTTATATATATATATATATACATATATGTATATGTATATATATATATATACTGGTGTCGGAAACTGGTAAGCCAGACTCACGCATGACATATGGTTTGAACTCCCTCCTCCCCCCGAATGCAATATTGGTATCCGATCTTCCGAGTTTGACCGAGAGGTAATGCGTCAACGTGCCAATTTTGAATTGTGGGGGAGGGCAGAGTGTTGCTCATTGTTTCCCTCAACCGAATATATATATATAGAGAGAGAGAGAGATCATAGCACCATCGCGCGCGCATCCCGCGCGCTCATACTTGCCATGGGACCAAGCGTATAGCGCGTCAGAGGGGCCGTGTCCAAATGATCGAATCCGTGGCTTCAAGGAGCACGCCTTGGTGTCTGAGGTCGCGTTGAGGATTGATATGCGCGGCAGTCCTGGGCACCCTTGGGCAATATTGTAGCTCTCTTCTGGACCGTGTGGGCCTCCGAGGCCATCTTGGCGCCACGCGTTCGCAACACATGGGAACTCCAGGAATGAAAAGAAATCACGCTGACTGATTTGGCCCTCTTGGAGATCCTGTGTGGGCACTCTGGCGGCTTTTTTTTCCGCTTGCGCAGAGCGTTCAGAAAAAAACACATGTGACGCGCGCCGAACACACACATGAGCGGCGGGCCAGGGAGCTGATGGAGCTCCACAAGGCGTCGCCGTCCCCGGGGACGCCCCGCCTACTCAGCGCAGCTTCTCGAGGAGCTTGTTCGCAGACGCCTCCTCCGCTGCAGAGTCGAACTGCATCTGGCCCACCCAGCCGTTCTTAGCCCGCACGTACTCCAGCACATTGATGCCGTTGTTCCCCTTGAACAGCAGGTCGTCCTCGGACTGTGCGACCTGGGGCGCATACCGGGGGGCGTTCTCCCCCGCGAACGGCACGCCCTTCACCAGGTTCGAGTTGTCGATCATCGGCGCCGCGATCCGCTCGCTCGGGTCCGCGGACGCGGTTAGCAGCACGTCCTTGGCGACGGCCGGCTGCACCTGCTGGCCCAGAAGCGCGGCCACCACAGCGGCGCCAGCGGCCGCACGGCGAGCCTCCATGGGCACGAGGGCAGCCGAGCCCGTCCACGCGGCGACTGCCGCGGCGGCGGCGAGCACGAGGCAAGCCAGGGTGCGGGAGCTGCGGCGGGCGGCCATGGTTGCTGGGGCCTGCGCCTGCTGGCGTGGCGGAGCCTAAAAAAAACCTGAGCCGAACCGGCTTGAGCCAAAATGGCTCCGGAGGCACTCCGGCGGCCTCGTGGGGCCTCCTTGCGCTGCTGGAGACTTCCTGGGGCAGCCTCGGGGCCTCCCAGGACCGCCGTGGGGCCCTCTTTGGAACTACTGCAGAGCTCCTGGAGGCTCCTGGAGAAGCTCGGGGCAGGCTCTGGGGAGCCCCCTCGGAGGGAAGGCGCCTCTTAGGGCACCCTGGGCGCCCCGTGAGTGCTGCCGCCTGGAGCCCCTTGCGGTCGGGCGTCCGGTAGATGGATGGAAAATGGTGGTGCCATCCCCCTCCACCTCCCCCTCCCCCTCCTCCCCCTCCCCCTCCTCCTCCTCCTCCTCCTCCTCCTCCTCCTCCTCCTCCTCCTCCTCCTCCTCCTCCTCAGGGAGCACGATGGAGAAAGGAGGTGGCAGGACGAGCAGAGTGGAGGAAGGCGGGGAAAGGCGGAACCCAAATGTGGAGAAGGAAAGGAAGCGGGGAAGAGGGACGGCGGAGGGCAGAGGCGGACGTAAAAAGAAGGATGGGGGGCAGAGGAAGGGCAGAGGGATGCAAAGTGAAAAGGAGAGGGACGGGGAGGGGCAGGGCGAAGGAATGAGGAACGACGGGGGGATCACCGAGGCGGGGAGGAGGAAGGAGGAGGCAGGAGGGCGAATGTACGAGGTAGGGGGCAGGAGAAAGAAGCGGGAGAAAGGAGGGAACGGAGGAAGTTGGCTCAAACCCGTGTGGCTCAAGCCCGGAGCCCGTGTACACAAGCCCCGCCTCGCCTTGACCCCTCCTCTTACCTACACTTCCTACCACCACATCCTTTCCTACTCTTTGATGCCCTTAATGGGGCCATGGCTTGGAGCTCTTCCCCATCGGTCGCCGAGCATGGTGGCCCTCCACGTGCGAACACCCGCGCTCCAGGTACGCCACTAGGAGTCGCGAAAGAGAGAGAGAGTATTATGTGCAGACGCCTCCTCCTCCTCCTCCTCCTCATCATCATCATCATCATCATCATCATCATCATCATCATCATCATCATCATCATCATCATCATCATCATCATCATCATCATCATCCTTCTCCTCCTCCCTCCTCCACCTCCTCCTCCCTCCTCCACCTCCTCCTCCTTCTCCTCCTCCGCCTCCTTCTCCGCCTCCTCCTCCTCCTCCGCCTTCCTCCTCCTCCTCCTTCTCCTCCTCTCCTCCCTCCTCCTCCTCCTCCTCCTCCTCCTCCTCCTCCTCCTCCTCCCCCTCCTCCTCATGGTCAGCCCATTAAATAAAAGTGGATGGCAACGGCGGCCCTGAGGCACACGCACTGGCAACCCCTTCGACTCCGCCGGAGGCACTACCACTAGCAGGAAGACCCGTTCAACAGGAGCATCAGCATCCACGTCCACCTACCTCGGATCAGTTCGCAAACGTGATACGCAACGAGGTGCAACCGATCCGCAACACCATCCACAGCCTCGAACGTCGCCTCAATGAGACGAGCGGGCCATCAAAACCAGGATCGAGGAGGTGGAGGAGAACATCGAGGACCTCGCCATCCGCCTCACCAACCTTGAGAACCAGACCATCGAGCAGTCAGATGCCATGGCAACCCCCGGGAGCGACGACGCGGCCATCTGGGACCAGCTCAAAACGTCGGAGGCCCGTGTTTCGGAGCCGAAGGTTTCAGTCACTATACAACATGAAAATTAGGGCAAGCATGTCAGGGGAGGCAAAGCAGGACCGTACAGCAGTAATCCCACCAGCCCTTTAGGGCGTGAGTGGTTTAGAGAGCCCCCTCTGTCCTCAACCCCCCTTCTTCCCCTTCGGGGAGGGGTTTACCCCTCCCCCTACCCCCTCCCCCTGGACCTGGACAGGGATTCCCGCGGGTCGTTGGGGGGGTCTTCTTCGACTCCTGGGAGGGCTAAAAAACGACGACCCTCACGAGGATTCTGGCCCCGACGGGGGGGTGTAGAAAAAATGCTCTCCTCTTCTCTGAAGCCAAAATCCTTGTTTTTACTACGGTTTTGGCCCCTTTTTGACCGTCTGAGGGGCCAGCGCTGCTGCTCCTTGTTAGCAAAATCGTTGATTTTACGAAGGTTTTGGGCTCATATTGTCTTTCTGAGGGGGTAGCGCTCATTTGCGCTTCTCAGGAGGTCGCAAGAAGCCCCCAAGAGGCCCCAAGAGGCCCCCAGGAGCCTCCCAAGAGGCCTCCAAGAGGCCCCCAAGAGGCCCCCAAGAGGCTCCAAGAGGCCCAAGAGCCCCAAGAGCCCCAAGAGGTTCCCACGAGGCCCCAAGAGCCCCCAAGAGGCTCCAAGAGGCTCCAAGAGGCTCCCAAGAGGCGCCCACAAGGCCCCAGGAGGCCCCCACGAGGCTCCCAAGAAGCCCCACGAACGGAGCCCGAACGACTCACACCAGGACGAGGGGCCCGAACGACTCACACCACGAAGAGCCCGAACGACGCACACCACGAGGAGCCCGAACGACTCACACACAAGGAGGGGCCCGAACGACTCACACCAGGACGAGGGGCCCGAACGACTCACACCACGAGGAACCCGAACGACTCACACACAAGGAGGAGCCCGAACGACGCACACCAGGACGAGGGGCCCGAACGACTCACACCACGAGGAGCCCGCACGACACACACAAGGAGGGGCCCGAACGACTCACACCAGGACGAGGGGCCCGAACGACTCACACCACGAGGAACCCGAACGACTCACACACAAGGAGGGGCCCGAACGACTCATACCAGGACGAGGGGCTCGAACGACTCACACCACGAGGAGCCCGAACGACTCACACACAAGGAGGGGCCCGAACGACTCACACCAGGACGAGAAACCCCAAACGACTCAAACCACGAGGAGCGCTTTCTCTCCCTCCTCCTCCGCCTCGTCCTTCTCCCGCTCCCCCCACAAGGAGGATGTACAAGGAGGCGGGAGGAAGGAGGGACAGGGGAGATATGCGGGGCCAAGCGGACACACGCCTGAAAAACACGACTGTCGGCCTGCTTCGCATGAGTTGCTGTTGTGAGATGGGCTGGTGGGGATACGCGAAGCGTAAAGAATTAGTTGTTGCTGCTTCTATGTCAGCAGCCTCTTCTTGGGTCAAAGACACACTTTCATCATTGTCGGCGCCTTTGGCTATGGACATAGATTCAAAAAGCAACTTCTGGACATCCTATTCGAAGAGACCCTGACCACGGAAGGACAACAATCTGGGCTACACCAAAAAAAGCCGCCGTCCTTCCGTGCGATTCGGAACGCATCTTTTGACTTGAAACGCATTCTCAATAACGAGCTGAACCACAAATACAAGATATACTACAACCAACAATGTTCCTTTTCTAATATCTGTGGGTGGCGTCTGTGCTCTTTCCGTGTGCGTTGACGAGTCGCATCTTGTACAGAAATGGAGCCAAGAGTTGGAAACTTAGGAAGAACTTCAAAAGCATCCCGAGGGCCACCGAGGGCGTGAGAAGCACAGGAGAAAGAGGCTCCAATGGTAAATGGGAAACACGGCTGGTCCCCAGAGTCGGCCCAGGAGATCTATTTGTACATACTTCTACCGCCACTGTGGGTAAAGATACCACGACCGCCGCTACGAATTTGGGCAAAGATACCGTTGCACAGCGCAAAACGGTCGTTTCAACTCCCTTCCACACCATACTCTTCTACAGTCTCCTCCCGGCCATACTCATTTAGAAAGCGACGGAGGGCTTCATGAACCATCCTTATCTTCCAGCTTCTCTTGGGATAGACCTCGGTCTGCCTGCTGGTAGAAGTGCCGCCGGCTGTGTGCGCCCTGTCGGGTTGAACGAACTGGCACGTGTAACGTTGAAGGTCTACGTGGGGAAGATGCTGTCAAGATAGACGAGCTCATCCAACACATGATTGAACGTAGCCTCGATGTTCTTTGCATGCACGAAACACACCTGCACGGAGCAAAATTCTACATAAAAGATGGCTTCAAGACGCTTCTTTCTGGCAGCTTAAATGTGGAGGTACGTACCAATGATAGAGTTGGCGTTCTGGTCAACCCGTACATCTTGGCAGCCCCGGTGGCTTTCAAAGTCTGCTCTCATAGGTTAGCCACGCTCTGGGTGCGAATCAAAGGTGGAGTTTTGACATTGGTTACAGCGCACGCGCCTCACAGTGGCCACGTCTACGAGTTACGACAATCATTCCACCACGAGCTGCAGAAGGTGATTCGGGCTACCACTGCACATTGCACAACACTAGAATTCGGTGATTTGAATGCGAAGTTATTGCGGCAAGGCGCTGGGAATGATAATACTTTGGGGCCTTATGTCTTTGACACCACTCCTGGGGAGTTCGATTGCGAGCCCGGCGCACAGCAGTATCGAAATTAGATGGCACGGGCGTCAAATCGACGATTGCTTCTGGAAACTTGCGCCGCGTACGATGTGGTAATTGCGAACACTTTCCATGACCATCCCGATTCAGTGAAAATCATGTGCTGGAACGCGGGCATCAACCCAATGGACGATAATATCTCGACCTCAACCTTCTCTCAAATTGATCATGCGCTGTGTCATCAAGCCATGCTCGACACGATATCTGACTGTTGGGGTAGCCGCGCAGACGACTTCAACAGCCGACTCTTTCTTCTTAGCGCCAAGCTGAATATCGAGTTCGAGACGTACAACGAGAGCAACAACAAGCAGTAAACAAAACAGCTTTGAAGGATTCGGAAACACAGCGAAGACTCTCAGAGGAATTCGTCAACGCAAACGTGCCTCAAAGGCAGACAGGGAGAACGAGGCAGAATCTACAGCATGCTTTCTCGCAGGCTGTTGCAATATTGCCTGCCCTGGCGATCCGAGCGCGACGCCCTTGGATTCGTCAGGATAATTCGGGCTCACTGCAGAACGGAATGCTTGCCGCCGAGCTGGGGATTACGAGAACGAGCAGAAGCTGAATTAGCAAATCCGCAAGATCACCAAAGCAAATAAAGAAGCTCGGCTTGATCAGCTCCCCGCGGCAGGGAATTGGGACACTGTCCGATATTTGCGCCAACCCAAAAAAAAGCAGCATGCAACAGTACAGCGACCTGACGGCACCGTGGCAGACACATCTGAAAGAGCAAACGTAATGGC